ACTACTACTACTATTAGGCTACTATTACTATTACTACTTATCTCTCTCCTTCTTTTTCTTCTACTACTATACTACTACTACTACTTTCTCCACATGCTTTCTCCAAGTTTCTTTGGTACTACTACTACTTCTCCTCCTCCTTCTCTTACTACTACTACTACTACTACTACTACTACTACTACTACTACTACTACTACTACTACTACTACTACTACTGATACTACTACTGACTACTACTATATACTACTACTGATACTACTACTACTACTACTACTACTACTACTACTTCTACTACTACTACATGTTGTGTTGTAGTTTGGACCTCTTTAAAAATGTTCTAAAATGCATAATTCTTGTATTTGTTCATATTTCAGTCTCAAAAATTCAGATCTCTCAAATGTAATGTTCCTAGTCCCCTAGTTCCCAGTCTCTCGCTCTAAAACCTTCAAATCAGGCAAGAAATCTAGGGGTAATAATGGACTCAGACTTGAACTTTAACAGTCACATAAAATCAATAACATCTGCAGCCTTTTACCATCTAAAAAACATAGCAAAAATCAAAGGTTTACTGTCTAAATCAGACTTGGAGAAACTTATCCATGCATTTGTCTCCAGTAGGTTAGACTACTGTAATGGTCTGCTCACTGGTCTCTCCAAATGAGCTGTGAGACGCTGCAGAACATCCAGAACGCTGCAGCTCGGGTCCTTACTCGAACTAGGAAGTACGAGCACATAAGTCCTGTGCTCAGGTCTCTGCACTGGCTTCCTGTGGCTCAGAGAATAAACTTTTAAAGCAGCTCTGCTTGTGTGCAAGTCTCTCCATGGTCGAGCACCAAAGTACATCTGTGACATGTTAGTGTCATATGAACCATCTCACACTCTGAGGACCTCAGGGACCGGCCTCCTGCTGGTGCCCAGAGTCAGGACTAAACAAGGGGAGTCAGCGTTTCAGGTTCATGCAGCTAAAACCTGGAACAGTCTTCTGAACATGTGAGACAGACTCTTCTGTGACGCTGTTTAAATCCAGGCTCAAAACATTTCTGTTTAACTGTGCATATAACTGAAAGGTTTTCATTCCGCACTCTTCTCTCCAATTTATGTCTCTCTTTTTTAATTTTAATCTTGATGATTATTTATGTTTTGATTTGTTTTTATTATGATTTTAATGTATTTCTTATTCTGTAAAGCACTTTGAATTACTTTGTGTACGAATTGTGCTGTACAAATAAACTTGCCTTGCCTTGCCTTGCCTAGAATCATTTACACTTGCAGTTAATCTTACTTAATAAACACAAACTGCAAATATTCTCACATTTGTGATATAAAACACATGGTAACCTTTATATAAAAAGCAGATATTAGCCTGTGTTCAAGCCTAACCTAACCTCATATTTGTGTGTTTTTCAGACATGAGAATGAAGTCCAGCATTTCAAAGTCATGAGGGACAATAAGGGCCAGTACTTCCTGTGGTCGGAGAAGTTCACCTCTTTAAATAAACTGGTGGAATATTACAAAAATACCACAATCTCCAGAACACAGGAGATCTACCTCAATGACGGCACCCCGGGAACACGCAGCCCCTCCTCCACGCAGCCGGTCAGCGCACATTTATCAGCATGTCATACTGTTGCCATAGCGATTAACTATTTAAACCAAATATTGTATCTTCAAAATGTTGCACATAGTAGGAAGCTATAATGAACCTAAAGCTAGAACTCTTAATCTTATAATATTATGGTAACACTTTAGAATAAATAATTACACTTTTACACCTTAATAAAGCATGAACTAAGACTTAAATCATAATTAATTAATAGTTCTTTAAAGCAAACATATTCAGCAAAATCCACTTTTTAGAAAGATACCTCATTTACCCTCCTGTAGTTGTACTCACAGTGATTCATGCGTGTTTGAGTCAAGATGCCATTGCTAGTTGTATTATTATTGTGTGAAAAAATGCATAGCTCACTTTTTTTCTATCTTAAATAACATTTCGGCAAGAAGTCTTCATCAGATAATTTTTCTTGCCTTGGACCACAGTATACAAAATGGTTGCCAGGCCAGATGCTCATATCCCAGAGTGTGAATGTGCTGTGCATTTTTTCACTTTTAAATTGGGTTTCCTTGCATTTGCACCTCTACAAGAACTTTGGTGTTGCATTTTCTGTTTCAGTTGTATACATATTAGGAGTGGCGCGGTTCACAAAATTCACGGTTCAGTTCGTATGGCGGTTTAAGGTTGTGGGTTATGGTTTGGTACGGTTCTTGTTGTAATTTTTTCTTTTTAATCTTTAATCTCCAGAAATATACTTCATCATATCTTATGTTATCTTAATTATCCACAATTTAGGATACAGCATTAAAAAAGTTGTAAAATTATAGTTAGTAATGTAATCATGCACAAACTGAATTTGACTTGACTTTAAGCACATTATTATTGGACATAGGCAGCTGTTGTGCTTCGGTGAGAAAATGTTACCACCTTCCTAACCCTCCTCAGGAGTCGGGACACTTGGTTTAGTGAGACTGCACTCTTGGCTGCAAGGTTAAGGGCCTGGCTCCACTGTATGAGTATTTCACCCTATGCGAGTGTGAAAACTGCAAATTTTGGATGCGTAACTTTTAGAATGCATGGAAAGTGAATGAGGGCGGCTCCACTGTACGTGCTAGACGTGCGTATGGAGGAGCGCGTCCTGTGCACGTAGATTTCAGAAAATAAGATCCATCCTGTTTTTTGACTCTCTACGCAAGCGTAGGCACGCATCCCCTTCAAAATACACAGAGAGCATGAATCTTTGATTGTATTTGTGCATTTACCATCAGTACAACGTGCTCCTGGGGCAGTTCTGTGTCGTGTGAAAGAGCGACACGGGTGCTTCCTCCATCTCTGGGCGGCCCTCTTCTGTCCTACTTGCCATTTCTACACGTGACGCGCAGCACCCACCCTCCACACCTCTTCTTTTGTGCCAAAGCGAAACAGGTCACATATGGGCATGAGGCTACAATGCGCAAGCCAGGAACCGTGGAGACCGTACAGTATGCACACGTTGCGAACTGAACGTTTTTTTTTTCTTCATGAACCGTGCCACCCTAATACATATTTAAGTCTATTCAGTGAAGTCTGCAAAAATAATAGATAAACTGCCTAAGAAATTACTAAATAGTGTGAAAATTCTATTATTGTTTCTTTAGAATTTGGCCAACCTTAATGAATACTTGATAAAGTATAATTAGAAAAACTCTCAAAAAGACTTAACGAACAGATATTGCATTGCAGTGCTAGTAAATCATTCTCTTGTTAAGAAGTGTTTAACTTGACATCACAATCGCATTAGACAAGTCACAAACATTTTTTTTAGTGTTTCAGCACAAGTTCTAGTTTTCAACACCTGTCCGTAGAAAAAAATCTAAGCTGCATGCATAAAAACAGACGAGACGCATTAGTTACATACAGATAAGAAATATAGTGCATTATTACATCTTCAGTGAGAGCATTTTTGGTTGGAAACATAGAATAATTTAACTTTAGTTTTAATTTTTTTTTCTGTTTGTTTCCAATTTTACATCAGCTGGTAAACAATTCCACAGTGCAGCCCCTTTGGCAGAGAAAGAGACTGACCAAGAGTTGTCCTGTACACTGGGACAACACAATTACCACTAGAAGTATCTCTTGTAGTAGCTGTGCGTGTACAGTTTATGCTCCTGGCAAATTCTGAATTCAGTGGATCACAGTTGATTTAAGATTATTATTAGTTCAATATGCATTTACGACTACACAAACAAATAGTTCTTTAGTGAGTAACTAAGTATGAAATCATTATGAGTATAGCTATTTACAGCACAGGCTAATTAACTGCAAATTAAGTGCTATTTAATGCTGTAATTAAGTAGTTACTAAGTGTGAATCATTATTAAGTGTTTGTTCATGCTTTACTTGGGCTAAATAAGGTGTAGTTATTATAAAGTGTTATCTATGAATTTCATTGTAAAAGAAACAGCTTTCATAATTGTCTGCAGAGTTAAAAACCTGTGCTCTAATTGACAAATAATCATAAGTTATTATCATTTTAGGCTACGTTCACACACCACATCAAAACTGAGACTGGATTTAAACCTGGGCTAAATCACACTACCTCTAACTCTAACACTTGATCAACTAAACTAGGATTAAAACAGGACCTAACCAAGTCTATATCAGGGTTTAGTGAAGATCTCTCTATGAATTTCATTGTAGAAGAAACAACTTTATTAATTGTCTGCAGAGAGCAATAAAAAAACGACATAAGACATTTTGAAATCAAACAGTTAAATCTAGTACTAATGTGAACATTTTAAATGAACTTGATGAATAAGTAAAAAAAAAAAAAATTGAATGTCTACTAGAATACTCCAGTCGACGACCAGATCATTTTACTACTATACATTACATTCATTCTTTTATTTAGGTTCTATGTGTCTATGCTTCTCACAGTTAAAAAGAGGAAGTCTCCCAGAGCCATGTAACTCTCCCACTCTAAAGTCCAATGTTCCACGAAGAGCCTCAGACCAGCCTCACAGTCAAATGGTACGCCGCCTCTGCTTCGAAACAAACGCTACTTATGCTCACTTGATAATAAAAAATATAGGGAAAAAAAAGTATAGGACCTTTAAAAATCTGCTTTCTGGATGCAGATATTTACAGATGTTTGTTTGTGTGTGTGTTTGTAGACGGTGCGTCTGGAGGAGCGCGCACATACCATCGGGCACTCAGCACAGCGCAGTCGCAGCCCCCTCAGCTCAGCTATGTCACGAAGACCCTCTGAGCCTCTGCCTCCTCCTCAGGTACAAACACACACAAACACGCCCATATTATAGAGCAGTGACTCTCAACGTGAGTTACAAGATGATTGCTGCGGAGTAAGAAAGCTTTCCGAAAAATGTATGTGCGTAGATTAGAAATCTGTGCATATTTGTCTGTAGTTGAGTATAAAATAAATATTCGTAAACTCGATTCGATGAGTCCAGTTGTACATAAAATGTGTAAAATATTGTGTGTATTTTATCCATCAGAGTAGGTAATTATAGACAATATTACACAGAAGCGTTCGGTCCTTGAATTCAATGTGGCAAGACAAGTATATTTTTACAATCAGTTATAATGAACCCATCTGTTGGTCAGCTGTTGTAGCTCCTTGTTGTGCCATTACTCTGTTCCCCTCCGCTTTTACCCTCTCTGCTATCTCAATCTCGATGGATGTTTCTTCTGTTCAATAAATGATGCCTGTGAAGTGATGCATTTTTGACAGTAGAGTACTGTACTTTGTACTGAAGAAAGCATAATTGTAAATTATTTTCATTTTGTGAAAATAACACACACACTCGAAAATCTGTGTAGGAGTGCCACTGCTGATGGACAATTTACACATCATACATCATACAGCCAAATATGTGTGGATTTCTGTTCTATGTATACGAATATTTCAGAAAGCTTTCTTACTGCATAGATTTTTAGGTATCATTTTAAAGCTATGACTGTTTGTGTGTGTGTGTGTGTGTGTGAAATAACTCAATAAAATAGCCTGTTCAAAGAAACAATAAAACCTGATGCAACACATTTGACACGTAAAATAATTATTGCAGTTTTATTAGTCTTTTCATTAAATTCAACTTTATATAGTTACTTTAAAAGTGTGTTCATCAAATGCTTTTCTCCATGGAGATGTTATTGTATCGTCTGGAATGTTTCACAGTACGACATTAAACCTCTCTATCTTCTTCTTTTACGCTTTTCCACTTTGAAGGCACTCAAAGCGCTTCATGGAGACCAAATCAGACCAAGTTACAGTTTAGATCTGTGGAGAGGCAGCCTTGCTCACAGTCAGAATGCCTGTTTTTCCACCTGTAATTGAATGAATGTAAGGTAGAGCTGTTTAATGTCATACTGTGGAACATTCCAGGCAGAGGAATGACATCTCCATAGAAACAAGCAGGTGACGGATCCCCAACCAAAAAGTTTCAGAATGCACCTTTAAACATGGTCGGCTATGATGGTATGGCTGGAGGTGTTTACTTGTATCCTCTCAAATTTTATTAGCAATACAAATTTAAAACTCATAAAAATGACTGGAAGTAAATGTTGCATTATAAAGAACCTTGAACTTAAAATTCCCTGCACTTTTCCCCCACAGCGAGTGAACATGATCCAGGTGAGGGCCTTGTACGACTTCACGGCTGAAGAGGGAGACGAGCTGGAGTTCAGAGCTGGAGACATTATCGAGGTTTTGGACCGCAACGACCCCTCCTGGTGGACGGGGAAACTGCGGGGCAAGACCGGCCTGTTCCCCGCCAACTACACCGAGCAGCTGTGACGAGACCCAGATCTCCCACAGGCCACGAAAGCACCGCCACAGAGCAGCCAGCAGCAACATCTGAAATGTATGATTCATGTTGTATTCATCAGACTGGGCCTACAGCGCAGTTTGTCAGCTGGGACCAAACCAGGTGTCGTAGAAGGGAGATTTTATTTATGAATGCAGGGTTGTGGTCTTCTAATTGTGTTTTTCTTGAGAAACCTGAGCTAAAAGACTGCGTTTTTATACTATTTTACATTTTAATAAACATTTGCTTTAAAAACTTGTGCTGTAATTGAAAAAAAGTTAACATTTATGCTGCGTTCACACACCACATCAACTAAATCAACTAAATGGGACTGGACTAAATCAGAACTAAACCAAGACCAAACCAAGTCTATATCAGGACTTAAAGAGAGGGAGTATTGTGCAAAATTGATTTTCTTGAGCTTTCTACCATGTTATAATGTCATTCCCTAATTAAAACACGCCCGAAGACGTTGTAGATGTCATCTGTGCATGTTTGAGTAATTTAATGATCTCTCCCAGGCCCTATTCAAACCCTCTTTACAGTTACCTATCAAATTTTGCCCAATCTTCACACACAAGCTTACGTCGCCCATGTTCCCACACGACAAGGATACGAAACTGCACACAGCAACTTCACAAAGCTGATGCATGTGCAGTCGTTTCAGTAGTGAGGTTCGCGCTGATTGTGTTGTGATAGCGATCTGAAGGGGGAGTGACTTGCGGGGAGCAAAAGGGAGCAAACGAGAGGAGACTCAGAGCATCAAAAATGACAATGAAACTTATAAAAGCGTATATAAGATTTTCTAAACAATGCAAGGTAACATGGTGATCTAAATATGTTAGTGTTAAGTAAAATACCCGCTCTTTAAAAGTCCTCTACCTGATTTTTCCCTTGTGTTTGATCAGATTTAGTCTTGTCTCACTACAGATATATTGTATAAGCAGCTCTTGAGAAATAATTAAAATACTCTGAATGCATAATGTAAGTGAGGAATAACTTTGGACCACTGCAAACCATTTAAAACTAGTTCTGTTTTTATGTTTTTAAGAAGTAAAAATCAAGTACAGTGCCTTAAAGTGGAAATAAAGTGAGCAGTGCGAACGCAGCCTTAATAATTTTTAAAAGGGCTTTGTGTAATTTTGCTTTTCTTCCTGGACATGTTTTTGCTTTGTCTGGAATGTTTCACAGTATGTCATTAAAGCTTTCAATCATCACAGAGATCAAACCAGACCCCGCTCACAGACAGAATGCCTGTTTTTCTACATATTTTTGATCTCTAAATGTAAATTAGAGCTGTTTAATGTCACACTGTGGAACATTCCAGACAGAGCACTGACATATCCATAGAAACAAGCAGGTGCCAAAACGTTACATACAGTAGTGCACTTATAATAGTTTTTAAGAAATCAAAAATAAACCTATTGCGTTTTAATTTGCAGTTGGAATCCACTTGAAGATGATGTGTTTTAAAGTTTAATTTGCAAACTTGTTTCTCCGAAATTATTGAACCAGGGACTTTCCAGCAACAGGTCAATAAGAGATCTTTTTTTAGCTGCTTGTTTTCAGAGGAGGACGGCTGTACTGATCCAAACATTTCCTTGAATCACTGCTGGAGAGCTGAACTGAACTTACAGGTGCACGGTGTAACTTTTCTCCATGGAGATGTTATTTCTTCATCTGGAATGGTTCACAGTATGATATTAAACCTTTCTATCTTCAAGGAGACTAAACCAGACCAAGTTACAGGTCAGATCTGTGGAGAGGCGACCCCACTCAGAGTCAAAATGCCTGATTTTCTAAGTATTTTTAAGCTATAAAACCGGTAACTGAATAAATGTAAGGTAGAGCTGTTTAATGTCATACTGTGGGGGTTTGAGTTGGGGTGATTTGCCAGAGATGATATGGTTGAAACTAATTCAGCTTCCCCCAGTGTTAATTCAGCTTCCCCCAGTGTTAATTCAGCTTCCCCCAGTGTTAATTCAGCTTCCCCCAGTGTTAATTCAGCTTCCCCCAGTGTTAATTCAGCTTCCCCCAGTGTTAATTCAGCTTCCACTAGTGTTAATTCAGCTTCCCCCAGTGTTAATTCAACTTCCCCCAGTGTTAATTCAACTTCCACTAGTGTTAATTCAGCTTCCCCCAGTGTTAATTCAACTTCCCCCAGTGTTAATTCAACTTCCCCCAGTGTTAATTCAACTTCCCCCAGTGTTAATTCAGCTTCCCCCAGTGTTAATTCAACTTCCCCCAGTGTTAATTCAACTTCCCCCAGTGTTAATTCAACTTCCGCTAGTGTTAATTCAACCTCCCTTAGTGTTAATTTGGTACCTCCTGCCCACCACTTCAAACTCCTGCGAGAGAAGACCAGTTTGAACCAGTATTACACATATTTCATCTCAAATTAACGAAAATAAAGTGTAAAAATAAAACACATCTGTGTGCTGTTTAGCCAAATGAGGATAACCCTAAAAAGTGTTATCTGTTTACTCTCAAAATACTCAAAATTTCGGGGTTAAACAGGAACTTTGCTGCAGTGTTGCTTAATTAACATTTCCAAAAATGTCAAATTAACTCTAGAACAGATTGGACTCATCTAAACCCTGAGAAAATGTTAAAATTGATTCTGTGAGAGTCAATTTTAACACTCCACTTTTTGCTGTGTGTTTCTATCTTCATTGAGACCAAACCAGACCACGTTACAGCTCAGATCTGTGGAGAAGCAACCTGCTCACAGTCTGAATGTCTGTTTTTATAGGTATTTTTGAGCTATAAAACCACTTATAATTGAATAAATGTAAGGTAGAGCTGTTTAATGTAACACTGTGGAACATTCCAGGCAGAACAATGACATATTCATAGAAACAAGCAGCATCCATAGATTATTAAAATTATTATTAATATGTTTTACACTTAAGAAAAAATAAGGATGTTACCGATGCAAATATCTATAAAAAAAAATAAAAATACCAGAGAACAGTTAGTTGAGTCTTGGGGTCAAAAAAAAAAAACTGAAAAATTGATGATGGATGGAGTGTTAAAAGTCCTCAAAATGGCGCCCATAACACCTGAAAACCCAAGAGTCTGAGGTAGTTGCTTTAGTGGAAGATATAGTGATGAAACAAAAGGATATTAAGACTTTTAAGAGGTCAGACAATGTTAGTCAATGTTTTCTATGTTTCATAATGTGGTCCATGTGATTTCTGAAGAGTGCAATTAAAGGTGAATTATGTAACTTTTGCGATGGCTCGTCCAACACCTGCTTGTTTCCGTGACTATTTTATCTCTTGGTCCGGAATGCAACCTGGCACTAAGTTACAAGTCAGGTCTGCGTAGAGGCAAGCCTACGTACAGTAAGAATGCAGTTTTACAAGGTTATTTTCGAGCAGGAAAGCACGTGGAGTTTAACAAATGCAAAATAGTTTAATGGCTTACTGTGGACTTTTCAAAGCAGCACGTTATACATCTCCATGGAAACAAGCATGATAGACCCCATAACCTCCCACTTATCCCTCCCACATACATACACACCTGAAAATGTTACATAGTACAGCTTTTGAAGGGTCCATCACCTGCACCTTTATGCAATTGCACGTTTTAGAGCTCAAAAATACCTAAAAAACAAAACAAAAACAGGCATTCTGACTGAGCGGGGACGCCTCTCCACAGATCTGACCTGTAACTTAGTTTGGTCTGGTCTCCATGAAGATAGAAAGGTTTAACGCCACACTGTGAAACATTCCAGACAAAGCGATAACATCTCCACGAAGAAAGTTTGACGGACGCTCCACCAGAAAAGTTACGCAGTGCACCTTTGAACTTTTACACCAATCAACATCTGAAACTATATTGCCTTCCAAGTCATTTTAGCGTGATTATAGCTGAGGAGTAAACTACCCTAAAAGTCTTGTATTATGTTTTGTATATACACGCATTATGTCATTGGTGTAAATTACTCTATTGGAAAATGAGTTGTGACCTACATGTGAACTGAATGGTATGAAAACTGTCAAAAGTAATGAGCCTCACAAGTACAATCTAAAGCTATTGTTATTACAGGAAGTAGGACCGATTTGTAGCCCTTCAAAATAAAATACTTATATTTTGACAAATCCTGACTGTTGTTATTAATGTGTTTTTTAAGAATCATTTCAGAATATCCACCTAAGCAAAGTGATTTCAAACTAGTGGTGAAATGTACATTATATTTACATTATTACAAAACTCTGTGTTAACTACAGGCAAGACACTTGACTATAGGGTTGTCAAATGAATCGAAAATCTGATAATAATCAACACTAACACTAATATCAAAAGTAGATACTCATTTGAGCAGGTATAGATACTAAATACTAGATACTAGTCACATTTGCAGGATGGAAATGATGCATTTGCAAGCTCCTTGGTGGCAAGGCTTTTCTGAATATCTTTAGAATGATCTTGAGCTGTATCAGAACAAGTAGAAGAGCACATAGACTAGTACACACCCATGGACCACTATGAACCTACCTGGACCACTGAGGGACCACACATGTAAGACCACATGGAAATACAAAAGAAATGACTGTGATTTAATACTGAAAATCACATTCTATCAATATTGGAAATGAGTCTATTACTTTTATCTTTACCTAAATAAATATATTTTCAAATGATCAGCATTTATGCGTAATAATATATATGTAGCTAAATTGGTTGGATGCAGTTGTTGTGCCAGTGGAAGCAGTGAACCAGTAGCCAGGCTGGCGCCACCTAGTGCCTCCTCTCAATTTCATTTCTCTCCAGCAAGGTTTGCAAGAACTCTAGAAGTGGTAGACCGGGCACCAGCCAATCAGTGAAGAGCTGTGCAGCCATGACTGAGTCCCTTTTGTGGTACAGCACAACACTAAAAGCAGTCGAGGTGGGTGTAGACGAAGACAGACGTTCTGTGTTGGCAACGATTCCCAAGATCAAGGGTTTAAAGCCGGAACAAAGAGAATGTTGAGTGAATTTTATCAAGGGGAAAGATGTTATTGCCCTTCTTCCTCCGGGATTTGGGAAAAGCTTAATATACCAGTTAGCCCTGTTAGCGGCACATTACATACATCACAACCAAATTGCAGAGACTGGTTAAATTAAAAAAAGTGCCCTAAAAACCTACTGTTGAGCGAACAAATTATAATGCTGCGAGGTCAGACTCATGAATCAGGCTAGTGAACCAGTTTCTCATTGTGGAAAATCATGGAATACAACAAGAAATGCAGAAGTGTGCCAATATTCACGCTTATGTCACAAACCAGGAAGACGTTTGGAAAGATGCAACGACAACTTCCATCGGGCTCTGTTCGCGGTAGTAAGTCTGACAACATTTAAGAAAAATGACAATATGGTCCAGTTTTCTTAATCTAAATGTTATTGTTGCTTTCCGTTATCAACAATTACAACCATATCTCAGTTTTCATCATTTCTCCACTGACACAACTCCGAGCGCACTGGGTACAGTACATGCGATTAGAAGAGATGAAGACGCCAAATTCCAGATGATTCCAAACAGCACATAGGTTTACAGTCTTCATTTTACCACTGATCACGTTTACTTCAGTGGGTTTGATCACAGTCGGTCGGCGAGCCCAGTGTCGGGAACTAAACCGGAAGTTGTAATCGCATTTTTCCAAACATCTTCCTGGTTTGTGACGTAAGCTTTAAAGGTTGTATAGAGGATTTTTTAAGGGAAGAGCAATACAGCAAGAGTCTTTTTTCAAATGTTGCGCATGCGTGACACGATCTTCCTCCTCCCGCCTCTTTACTCTAGAAATCACGCTTGTTTACATCCAGTGCATGAATTTCTGTTGAAGTGACTTGTCTAGAAGTAATTTAGCGACCGACGCGTCAGTTTTTAGACCCTTTGTCAGCTTCAGTTACGCCGTCGCTGGAAGGAATCTCCAAGAATCACCTCAGTTTGTCTTCGCTCCTTTTCGCCTTCTCTTCTTCTTTCAGCGACCTCAAAAACGGACTTTCTTTGGCGGCGAACTGGTTGTGGATTCTCGTCCGCCATCGCAACAAACTTTGTGCGAATTGCGACGAAGCGACGGTTTGAAAAAGCCTCTAAGAACCGCTGCATAAACCACATAATCCCCGCACGCCGGCAATTCAGTTATACTAGAAACGTAGGGAGTTTGATTGACAACCTAACAGCCAATAGATAAAGAGGGAGCCTCTTTTTCTATTGGCTGATGTTTATCTGGCCTCACTACGTCCACAGTTGATAGATTTTCATTCTTTTTTTTTTTTTTTGGTCATAATTCCAAGGCTGCTGCGTCTCTGTAATGGTATTTTAAACTTTTACTGACAATTTGAAACAAAAAAAAAAATCCTCCATACAACCTTTAATAGAGCCTATAAACTTCACTGATAATACAACTAGCAACTGGATTAGTAGGAGTAATAGTACTAATGATAAGTACTTTAAAAACATACTGTGCAATTAAAAGCCAGAATCTGTAACTTTAACCGAAGTAAAGCAATTCCATTTTGTTTTGTTGTTTAGTGCAGTCAAAATCATGGGTCCTTACTGTGAGCTGGCTTGCATCTCCACAAACCTGACTCATATTTGGCCTGGAGGAGGGCCTGCTTCTACTTGTTTCCATGCAAATGTTGTTCCTTTAGCTATAATATTCCACAATACAGCAAAAAACGTATGTCCAGGTTCTGACGTATGGCTTTAACTTTCTGTTTCCATGGAATCAGAAAGTTACACGCCTTTAATACAATTTAATTTAAAAGTTTCAGAACGTAATGCTGTTCAGGTATTTGTTTATGTTGTGTTTATCTTTTCAGTTAACCTTGTGCAACTATCTCTTTTATTTTTATTCATAACACATTTCTAAGATTTCAAATTATCAGTGTTTATGAAGTAAATATATATCTTTGAATTAACTTTTCGTAACCTTTATTCTGGTAATAGCCCATGGAGAAAACAAGCAGGAGTAGACACAATGTAGTCTCTGTATCTGTGTTTGCTAAAGTTGTCTGAAGCTAAGAAAAGTCAACAGAAGAGGATCAAAACACGCATTACTTTTATGTGTGGTTCTATAGTGACGGAAAAACACGCTTTGTGACAACATGGAGTCCATTTAGAACAAACAAGTCTGAATGTTAGCCTACAGGGCTGGATTTTAGATGGGGTAACAGCGTTTTAGATTTTAGTTAAAAAGACAGAATGTATTTTAAAGTCTGTACTCATTAAAAAGTACTAAAAGTGTGAGTACTTCAAAATACTACTACATGTATTCAGCACATGTGGGTAGTTGTTAGTTATCTAGTTTCTGGAGAAGTTGCTCTTTAAAAATGCCATATTTGAGTGCTTCCAGTAGAAAGAAAAATTGCTAAAATGTTAAATTGTTCAGATATGGTGTAAGTCCTGTTTTAGTCCTGGTTTAGTCCTGTATTAGTCCTGGATTAGTCCTGGTTTAGACCTGGTTTAGACCTGGTGTAGATCCATTTTAGTGCTGACATTATACTGTTAATTCTGCATATACAACTGTTGTTCCTTTGGCAGATCTGTCACATATCTGTTATTGTTATTTAAATTGTTCTGATGGTATGCAAATGAGATTTAATTTCATCCTGGTTTAGACCTGCTTGAACCTGGTTTAGATCTGGATTTGGTTCTGTAGATATAGTTTAGGTCAGTGCCTCTGCTCTCAGATACTATAGTGGTGTAGTGCAGGTGACTCTGATGTGAGGGCAGGAGGTGGTGTAAGAGCACTTATGTCATGTCACTTGATGTCATTTATAAAGAGTACTTTTGAATCCACTTCACTGCAGTGTTTTCATTTAGGATCCAGACATCTGACAGAAGAATCAAACTCAACTGCATTTCACCTGAAAATACTGAATGTGGGTCAATCATTTCTCAAAAGAGCTTTAGAATGCAAGAATGTAGTCAGTGAACGAGGCAGCCTTTCTACAAGCACATGAGAGCACAGATCACGTCCTCATTAAGCATGTATTAAAACGCTATAAATCGTGTATTATGAAAAGCACAGGGCACAGCGCTAACAGGACGTGGGCTGTTGACAGTTGCTGTGACTCACGGCGTGAGGCCCCGCCCCCTGTGCTACCTGAGCTCCGTGCGCACCTGACGCACAGGTAGACGCTTCCAGCTCGAACCAGAGTGAGGAGCACAACCAGCCATGGCGGAGTCCCAGCTCGCGGTGATGGATGACGAGCACGTGAACGAGAAGATCCCGGAGACTCGGCCCGAGTTTTACTACAGCGAGGAGCAGAGAGCGGCTCTGGAGCAGCTCGTGAAGAACGGGGACGGCCCGTTCAAGATGCGCATGAAAGAAGACAACATAAAGGACTTCCTGTCCGCGCGCGAGGTCAAGACTCTGCTCAAAAGTTTCCGAGAGTATGACAAGCACAGTGACGGCGAGGCTGCGCCGTCCGAGCCCTCCAAGGACTCCAGCAGCGCAGACTCCGGGGTCCACTCCACCTACTGGCCGCAGATGTCCGACACAGAGGTCCCGGCGCTGGACATCGGCTGGCCCGGACACAGCGGACTGTACAAGGGGGTGACACGCGTGCACGTGTACACGCACCCTCCCAAAGAACACGGACCGCACATCAAACAGGTGGTCCGCAAGCTCATCCAAGAGGCGCACAAGGTACGTGCACAGCAGCGGCATCTCAGCTGACGGTCACGAGGAGGTTGTGATGATTCGGTGTTACAGTAATAATTAAGTTAACGCTAATCTTAGTAGTAAGACACAGGACACATCTATTACACATCTATTACACATCTATTACACATCTATTACACATCTATTACACATCTATCAGATGATCAGATTCAACCTGACCCTGGATCATGTTCTTCATGTTTGTTTTGGGGGGGACTGTCTCATTTCTTTTCTCTTCCACATCTCACGTGGCTCTTACAGTTCTTTTGAGTTAAAGGTTTATTTTCTTTGAAACAATGACATTTTCCAACATGTTTCATAAATGTTGGAAAATGTCATTAGTCTATTTATAGAAAAAAAAAATGACTAAGAAGTGTCCTTACTTTAAGCATGTTTGGCCCATTTAGACTGAAAAATGTGATTATGATTTTGTCACACTATATCACACGTTTTTTTTTTGTTTTTTTTTTTTTTTGCTTAGTTTTTTTGTTAATAGCCCATCAGAACTCTAGAATAGGAGGACCAGCAACTGTACCAATCCAGGAAAACAAAAATCCTGCTTTTTAAAGTGAAACCACTGCACCTGGTCCAGTCACACCTGTGGAAAGCAGGACACAGCCTTATCAGTTCTTCTCACAGTCTCTGACCTACTTTAGCCAATCGCAGTCAATTGTCTGAAGCAGGAAATCTGATTGGCCACTGGTGGTCAGGTGACTAGTGAAAGGGACGAGATGCTGACCCCAAGTATCCAATGATGTAATGGAAAGTGACTGAAACTATAAAGTAGCTTACTCAAATAGTCTATGCAAAGTGTTTCATTTCATTTTGAATCTAGAAATGAGAAAGGATATATTGCTTTTGTGATTGATATAGGAAAACATTTGTAAAATTTTTCTATCAAACACTGGGATTACTTTTGAAATCTATGTATTAAGTAGGATTATCCAACGGCTAAAGGAATACAATTATTACATGGATTTCAGAACAGGTTTTGGAACAACAGACCGGCTCTTCTGTTGTAGTACAGGGCACGATGTTTTTGGAACAATCTTTCAAACAGCAGCCGCTTCTATTGTTCATCTTAAAGCTCCGATCTGAAGGACTGAGCTAAAGCAATAAACAGAAGTAGAAATACTGGTAATTAAGGTGAAAGTACTCAGGCAGTAGTAATTTAAACTGCAGTTTGTATACTGTTTGGAATATTGAAAGCACGCAAACCAATAAGTACCAGTACCAGTAGTAGCACCAGTAATAGTAGTAGTAGTAGTAGTAGTAGTAGTAGTAGTAGTAGTAGTAGTAGTAGTAGTAGTGGTAGTACCAGTAGTAGTAGTAGCAGTAGTAGTAGTAGTAACAGTAGTAGGAGCGGTAGTAGTAGTACCAGCAGTGGTAGTAGTAGTACCAGTAGTACCAGTAGTAGTAGTAGTAGTAGTAGTAGTAGTAGTAGTAGTAGTAGTAGTACCAGTAGTAGTACCAGTAGTACCAGTAGTAGTAGTAGTAGTAGTAGTAGTAGTAGTAGTAGTAGTAGTAGTAGTAGTAGTAGTAGTAGTATAGTAGTAGTAGTAGTAGTTAGTAGTAGTAAGTAGTAGTAGTAGCAGTAGTAGTAGTAGTAGTAGTAGTAGTAGTAGCAGTAGTAGTAGTAAGTAGTAGTAGTGTAGTAGTAATGGTAGTAGTACGTAGTAGTAGTAGTAGTAGTAGTAGTAGTAGTAGTAGTAGTAGTAGTAGTAGTAGTAGTAGTAGTAGTAGTAGTAGTAGTAGCAGTAGTAGTAGTAGTAGTAGTAGCAGTAGCAGTAGTAGTAGTAGTAGTAGTAGTAGTAGTAGTAGTAGTAGTAGTAGTAGTAGTAGTAGTAGTAGTAGTAGTAGTAGTAGTAGCAGTAGTAGTAGTAGTAGTAGTAGTAGTAGTAGTAGTAGTAGTAGTAGTAGTAGTAGTAGCAGTAGTAGTAGCAGTAGTAGTAGTAGTAGTAGCAGTAGTAGTAGTAGTAGTAGTAGTAGTAGTAGTAGTAGTAGTAGCAGTAGTAGTAGCAGTAGTAGTAGTAGTAGTAGTAGTAGCAGTAGCAGTAGTAGTAGTAGCAGTAGTAGTAGTAGTAGTAGTAGTAGTAGTAGTAGTAGTAGTAGCAGTAGTAGTAGTAGTAGTAGTAGTAGTAGCAGTAGTAGTAGCAGTAGTAGTAGTAGTAGTAGTAGTAGTAGCAGTAGTAGTAAGTAGTAGTAGTAGTAGTAGTAGTAGTAGTAGTAGTAGCAGTAGTAGTAGTAGTAGTAGTAGTAGTAGTAGTAGTAGTAGTAGTAGTAGTAGTAGTAGTAGTAGTAGTAGTAGTAGTAGTAGTAGTGGTGGTAGTAGTAGTAGTAATAGTTGTACCAGTAGTCATAATAGTACTAGTAGTAGTAGAAGAATCGGCACTCGTGTCATATATTGGTAAAGAAAATATAGACAATAAATGACAACACTGACACTAATCTGTCACCCTAAAGCCTAAAGTCTGTAGGGATGTAACAATAACTGAAATATTGTGATATTGTATCATCAAAAGTCTCACAATAATGTCGTCTGCCATCACAGTATATCGAATTACAAGTCTCTTTGCTTAAATTCTTTGGAACATGGGAACTACATAGACCATGATCCTTTGCTTCATTTCAGCACTTCAGACAGCATGACAAATGATGTTAGTAAGCACTTTAAATCTTAGTTGTTTGGATGATGACAGAAAAGACAGACTGAAGGGCTGTCAAGACATTTGTAAAGGAAAAAAGCATAGACTCCAGACAATATCTTAATAAATATCGTACTGTGACATGCATATCCTGAAAATATCGAGGGATTTGGATGTATAATTTTGTTCAAAGCATGAGCTGCAATAAATAAATAACAGAAAATCTATATACTCTTGTAATAAAATTAAATATTTGAAAATCGTATTGTAGTGCTAAAAAAAATTCACAAAAAGTTCCCCACTAGTGCAAAGGAAAGGTACTCTTGATAAACACAGGACCACCCCCCAAAATGATTGTTTCATCTGTCACTTAAACAAAAGTTGTAGTAGTAGTAGTAGTTTTATTCGGTCAATTTGCAGCACTACAAAACAAAACAAAACATAGACTACAACCATATGGATCACGACCGAAAGGGTTTAGGCTGAAGTAAAACGTACTTATAATGCCTCACCTTTTTAATAGGCATCGTACATCAATATAGTCTTAATTGTGACAGGCCCATCGCCTAAGGTTACCGGTCAGATCTGTGGAGAGGTGACCGCACTCACAACAAGATTCACGCATTTGTTATCTTTGAGCAATAAAAAAAACAACAACACTGTAATGTAGAAATGTAACGATATCCAAATCTCTTGGTCCGATATGATATTATCACGATATGCATCTCACTTTATGATATTTATTGCGATATTTTGGTTAGGCTGATACTTTTTATCTTTAAAAATACCCAGACAAGATTTTGGTGTGAATTATTACTGTCATAATCTCAAGAATTCAAGTAAAAACATATATCTTCATGTTGTCTGCGCTGAAAGGAATCATAGGATATGTAGTTCCCGATGTTTATTAGCTATACGCGCATCAAGAATCTCTGACTTCTGGTCATTGCGCAATGCATACTGGGAAGGATTTTCCAAAAAAGTGAGCATCAAACCTCCATGTTTGTTTTTACAGTGGGATGTGTCTATTGACAAAGTCGATCTTTTCTAGTCTTTTGAACCATATCGCTTTTGTTTCTGATTCTGATATTGTCATATTTTATTTTTGGGATTCGGACATTGTAATTGTGTGGTTGTTGGATCCTAACAGCGGAAAACGACTCGAGAAATTTGTTTGCGAACTCCATAAACTGCAAAAGGGAATCAGATGTGTGTGATTACAAACCTGTGTTGAAAAATAGTGAAAGGTGAAGGCGATGGGCAGTATTGATCCACAGGAAGGACCAAAAAGAAAACCTTTGACTGACTAAATCATCCCGAGTTTGCAGCGAACATTTTGTATGTGGAGCGACATCAAAGCGGGATCCCGTTTGTTAAGCGAGAGGTGCAGAAGACAAACAGACTGAGCAAGCACTTTCTTGTTCTTGTAGATTTACAGAAACATTAAGTCTTGGTCTCTTTGCAGTGGAAGGTGTTTCTTGGCGAACAGCTGGTGCCTCTCGCTTTGGCGTTGACTTTTTAAATTCGTAACCGAGCTTGAGTGAAGGATCGGGGTTTTGCTTTGATGGCTCCACATACAAAATGTTTGCCTCAAACTAGGGATGATTTAGGCAGTCAAAGGTTTCCTTTTTGGTCCTTCTTGTGGATCAATCCTGCCCATTGCCTTCACCTTTCACTATTTTTCTATTCCGTTGGGAAGGGAAACAGTTTGAACAGAGATTTGCAGTCACACACATCTGATTCTCTTTTGCACTTATGGAGTTCGCAAACAAATTTCTCGAGCTGTTCAACCACACAATTACGATGTCTGAATCCCAAAACTAAAATATGACAATATCAGAATCAGAAACAAAAATGATATGGTTCAAAAGACTAGAAAAGATCGACACATCCCACTGGGAAAACAAACATGGAGGTTTGATACTCACTTTTTTGGAAACTCCTTCCCAGTATGACCAGAAGCCCGAGATTCTTGATGCGTGTATTGCATTTAAGCATTTAAACAACGCATTTAAGCTTTAAAGATTTTGTAATTCGATATATCGTGACAGCCCAAGGTGTTATTGTGAGATTTTGATGATACGATATCACGATATTTCGATTATTGTTACATCCATATTGTAATGAAATACTTTATGTACTATTGATTATCATAATGTGATACAGTGGAACATTCCAGGCAAAGCAATAACATCTCCATGGAGACAAGAGACAAGCAATAAGCAGGGGATAAAGCCTCCACTAAAAAGTCACATATTGCGCGTTTAAAAGTTTATAGCTTTGTCACTTTTATTTTTTTATGAACACAATATTCTAGTAAACCATTATAATTGATTATAT